GAGGACTGAGGAGAGACACAGAGAGTATCGGACGGAGGAGAGAGAGAAAAAGCGAGGGGGAGGGGGGAAAGGGAGATAGGAGGGAAACGGGAGAAGATGGAACGAAGGCGAGTACAAGGTACACCGCGGAGGTGCACGGGGCAACGGAACGTCGAAGGTGAGAAAGAGCGAGAGGAAGAGCGCTGGGAGCATTGCTGAAAAGAACGAATAGATCACTTTTCCTCCTCCCCTCACCCGTTTCCTATCTTAGTTCCTCTTTATAACTTTCTCTCTCCCTCTCTCCTCTCTTCTTTATCTCCCTCCTTCTCTCTCTCTCTCTCTCTCTCTCTCTCTCTTGCGCCTCTCGTTTTATTCTCGTCTCCTCTTTCCCTCCGTTCGTTTGCCTCTCACTGCAATTAGGGAATTGCCCCGGGTATTTTCGTATTCATCGCAATGCAACCAACGCTGACATGCACCGCCGCGGCGGTGGCGGCGGCAAAGGTGCGCAATGGGTTATTTTCCATACATTGTTTCGCGAAAATGTGGCGCTCGAATTCCGCTGAAGGGCTAAACGCAGGCGGTGCGTTATTACCGGCCAGTTATAATCGGGATGTGATCGTTTTACTTTCGCAAGAGACGGGGCTTGGAGGGACTGTCGTAACATAGGTGCATTCATAACGTTCTCGTTGTGCGATGCATAAATAAGTTTGAGTAATGATATGAGAAGCTTTTATCGATAGTTGAGATACAAAGACCTGCATTAGTGATCTGTATCTAACTCTTCTTGAAACCCTTGAGACGTAATTGCGTCCATTCCCCAAAAAGAAGAAACTTTTGGAATATTTCAGTCGTAATAAAATGTAATTATCTCTATCGCCGTCTCTTACGGTTCTTTCCTTCCTTAACATAAATTAAATTGAAGCACAATATTTCGGTCACCTTCCATTTTTGGAAGTTTCCAAGTAATTTTAACGGCAGAAACTTGGAAAAATGTTAAACGTACAAAATGGAAGGCGTTCCTCGAGAAAGTCACGATTCTAGAAAGTTAAAGTCAAGATTTCCTCGATAACCTATGGTATTGTTAGAACGAAGAAATACACTGCAACCTGGATGTTACGAGGCTGACGTAGCAATCATTTCCACTTGTTCCTCTTCTATTCTCTAGCGATGATTCTTTTACTTCCGATGAGGCGGCCGACTTTTTCTTCGGCACCCGGGGCGTTGGTGGTGAGACGCCCGCGAAAAATGGACGTGCGCTCAGGTACTTCATTAATATTTCATTTCGTTGCTTATCGTTACCACGGTGCCGCGCCGCGGAGGCTCGCTCCGGGGCATCGTTACTCCCTCCAAGCGAGCGTGCACTAGGAGAGAGAACGTCGCGGTGGAGGTGAAGGAGGAGGCTACGTTAGGGAAGCAAGAGCGGGCGAGCTGGCGGCAAAGAAGGACGCTTTATTGCAATTGGGGTGACATTCTAGAAATTTTACGTCGTGGAAACACGGTGGAGACAGCCGCGGAGATTCAGAGAGAAGTAATGACGTGCCGGGAATGCCGAGAGAAACAAAGTGAGGACCGAATAAGGCCACCGAAAACGACTCGCAATAATCCAGCCGTATTTAGATGCGAGATTAAACGACCATGTGTCGTTAATAAGCAGGCATCCTGAAAGAATTAACATGGTGCTCGTATCTTCGTCTTCACGGTCTTGAAAATTAAAACAAGCGATAGATTTATCAGTCAATTGTTCTCATTTATATATGCTAAATGGTAACGTCCGTTTTCTCGCATTCCTGGCACAATCGTTTGAAAAGAGAATGCATTTTTCTAGCAAGTGCACATGCGTTTTATAGATTATTTATAATTTCCATATCAGCACAAAAGTTGATGTAAATAGCGAGTGGAAAGGGCCTCGGAGCGAGGAAGAGAAAGAAGCTGCTCGAGAGAAGAAAGCGAGAGGGAGAGGAGGGAGAGGGAAAGAAGCGGGGCGGAAGGGCGAAGAATCGCCAGGGGCCAGGACGGAAAGAGGGAGCAGAAAACGAGGGAGAACTACGGTCTGCCTCGGAGTCGCCCGAGGCGTCACGGAGCGCATTGTCTCGCTGGATATCTTCGGGGCAACACAGATCCCTCTCTCTCTCTCTCTCTCACCCCACCCTTCTGGCTCGCCCTTCGACCACCTCTCTCACTGGGACACGAAGGTGGAGAGGACGAAGCTCGCCGCTATCTCCTCTCGTTTCCGCGCCTGCAGCGGAACGACCGTACCCACCACCGCACCACTTCACTGGTGGGGTGTGTAGAGTACCGCGCGTCTACCCCCGGGGGCATCTCTCGCGCACAACGATAGGGATGAACGCGAAAAGAAGAAAGGGGAAGACGGCGGTCTTTCTCCTTCTCCCACGTCGCGCGATCCCGCGCCTTCGCCCGCGGGCCAACCGAAACGACTCGCGTATACGTGTATATACATATTTTAATATGTGCATGTAGGGGCATGCACGCGCGTGCATGCAGACGAGGCAGGCAAGGCAGGCGAGGCAGGCAGGCAGGCAGGTAGGCAGGCAGGCAGGCAGGCAGGCAGGCAGGCAAGGTACGTGGTACCATCACATCGCCGGCATTTGCCTGCATCGCTCGCGGCGGGGCTGCGCCACCTCTCCCTCCCCCTCCCCCTCCTCTTCTTGAACTTCGCATTCTACTTGCTTGATGGCATCATTTATCGCAAGAAAAATAATGAGATTAGGATAATCTACCCACCGCGGGCGTTACTGTGCGCTTTGCGAAATTTACTTTCAAAGTTCTTCACCGGTACTTTCCGTTTCGCTCCTTAAAGCACCCGTATGTGTGCATGTGTGCATGTGTATGTGTGGTGTATGCGCGTGTGTGTGCGCGCGCGCGCAGAAGAGATAACATGTTATCGCCGTTTCGTTATCGCAGTCTCGTTGAAGTTGCCGTACTTCTCGTATCTTCGGCCGAGTAACCCTGAGGGTGTCCTTCTCCGCTGACGCCGCGGGCGGGGAGTCGTGGAAGGGATGAGCTTCTTCTTGTTCCGCTGCGTAATATTATGCGCTTTTACCCCCGGGCTAGCCGAAACGGCTCTTGCGCGTGTACGTGCGTGTACCGTCATATTGGCATCTGCCCGTATCGCCCGTGGCGACATAACTCTTGTGCTTTTTCTTCTCCCCTTCGCATATTTTTCAATTGCGCTCGTTATAACAGAAATAGACAGAGAAATTTCAAATAAAATTGAGCACGGGCCGCTATTGCGGTCCGTTGGAAATGTCAACGACTCTCTCGCGACCTTTTAACGTATTTCATCTCCCGACTTGCCTCCTTCATCGCTGTAATTATCATGTTATCTACTTCAGTTTTATATTCTCTTCTCTCTCCATTTACCGCCGTACTCTTCAGTATATTATAAAATGAGTATCTGGTTGAAAAGCCAGGATGTGGCGAGTAAAAAGTTACCTCTTTGCACTAAAAATTGGCGTCACTTTATTCTTAGATTAAATCAAACAACTTACATATCAGCGATCGCGTACAACTCGTCATTTTGAAGGCCTCTTACTTCTTACAACTCGATCCGTTTGTCCCGATTATTGTTATATAATTTCCAAAGATAATCACTGCGATAGACGACTAAAAAGTGTGTAAAAGATGCCAATTATTCACAAATCCAATGAGGCAAGCGTATTACTTTGGTTTTGTATATTTTATATTGCCTCTTCTCTCTTCCCTTCCTACACGACTCTTGATCGTCGAGGGCTAACCAATGCGGTTTTGTGTGTGCTGAGATATATACGTATTATCCTACGTTCTGGCTGCATTGCCCATGGCGAAGCATACCCTCCCCTCCCCCCCGTATACACCTTCGTTCTTCTTCCCTTTTTTTTTCTCTTACTCCTCTTGCTCGTTTCTGTCCCTCTTCTTTTGGCCGCCTCTCTTGTACATGTTGTTCCTTGACCGACCTCTTGTCAACCGTCTCAGCTCGCCTCCGCCCCGGGCAACTTTTCTTTCCGGATAAAACTTCGCGGTATATCCCGCTTGCCTTCTCTCCTTTTCCTCGTTTTCTTGCCCTTTTCCCTTCCTGACTTATCTTTAAAATTATCATTGTTCCAGGAATATCCTACTGAAAATTGTTTCTGATCTTTTCACTAATAACAGTATTCATGAAAATGTTAGATTTGCTAGAAAATAATTGTACGAGAAGATGAAATATCTAGATACCGTTTCATTGTCTCCCGATGTAGTTTGTCTTAAATTATAACTTAACATTATGTGCGAGGTATGGATTATGAAGTTTTTATGTGATACATTTTAATTCTTGATTGGTTGATTGTGCGATGGTGGGTTGAAAAGTTTTAAGCCTTAACATGAAGATGGCATTACTCGTCTTGCCACTTCAGTACTGTGACTACGTGCTTTGAAGGATACCTCTGAAAATTTCAGCTATTTTGGAGTCTCAGTTGTTGTACGACAGTCGTTTTGTCGGTGGATGTTAGTATTTTCGTAAAATGTTATATATTTTTAAAAAAATCTTAGGATTTTTATTCCAGCTCAAAGGGTGAGGGAGCTTCGTGTCCGCCCATGGGGCAACTTCCGCACTTTGGATCTAAGGCTCTGGCGCCGTCATTTTGTTGAGGAAAAATATATTCCAAATTTTTTATGCTTCGATGTATAGAGAATAAATAGGAATAAACAGATTTTTATTTACGTTTATTATATTCCTAAACAAAATTACCGAAACTTGTCTTTTTTTGGGGGCTCTAGAGTATTGTAATCCCCTAAAAGGAGAGTATGTCGAAAAATGAAAGTGAGTTTTACCAAGAAAAAATTGTTTCTATGTTAGGCTCAAAACTTTTCAACCCTCGTCAACACTGCTGTCCATGTATTGGTAATCATGATATTATCGATAGAAGGATTTAGCTAGATCAAAATAATTGTGACCGCTATATTTATAAGAAAATTGTATTGTTTCATCATGTTCTTCAATTATATGTATTAGAGTACATTTAATTTATTACAGAAAATCTATTGCAACGTATAATATATTTATTTTGAAGTCGATATATCGCAGTTTCAAAAAGCTCATTATATAGAATTCTATTACTATTTTGCCAGTAGTCATGGAAGTTCCATAAAACCTTTAAAATATGTGATTTATATTTTATGTGTGAGTGTGTGTGTGGCATATTTAATTTTAATTAAATTTCTCAAGTCTCTTAAATTAAATCTGATTATAATTACAAATTAAATAAAATGTTCTTGTGTGTTGCAATATATGTTTGGAGACAATACCTGCTTTTATTGGTTAACATGGGTTTTTTCATCAAGGATTAGATGTATTTCTTGTATTTGAAAATTAAAAATGCTACCGGCAAAGTGTTCATTTCGTTGTGTTATGATTCAAGATTAGGACTTAATAGTTATATGAGATTATATTCTGTTGTTTAGTTCTGGTAGTTCTTAGACTGATGTTTCAGTCAATTATGTAGTTCTGTCTAAACCAAAACGCAACAGACTTGACCGTCTGTACAATCAACAACGTTGGGTCTCACGAGGGCTTTTGCACACGAGTTCATGCAGCTTCCACCATGGTGACGACAGTGGGTTCTGTATTCCTCTTTAACTGCAATGATAAAGAATTTATTAATTAAAAATAAATCGATGAAATAATTAGCCAGTTGGGTTGACTATAAGTTTCCCGTCTCAATTTCTAATCATTACTGGTGACAATAAGCAAACTATCCTTCGTCTAAAATACGAACTCACCTACGCTGCAGCATGATGTGCCCTGTTCGTTGCATGAAACAGCAGAGCTTAATACCAATTGCTCACATTTGTTAGGCGTAAGACAGTTCTCTTGGGGACATAGTTCCATTGCATTGGTATACTCTGAAAACAAATTCGTGATATCGTTGAATTTGTACTCTAATGTTCCAACATGTTTCTTTTCACCGATAATGGAAAACTATAACGTCAGGTATAGTAGGTATATTAGGTATTTTAAAGGCAAACGTGTGTTTCACGGTAATTTCACAGTCATAGTTTTCTTTCATACGAAATTATTATACATAAACTACTTGATTAGATAAAGTTTTTACTGTATGTATGCGTAGAAATACGATGGCAGAAATACAAAAAAATGACAAAGTAAATTTCAATTTTAATTTATCCTGATATATGAGCATCTACAAAAAAATGCTACATAACGTAATTGAATGTGAAATAGTAATATAATTAAATGCTATGTAATGTATTTATCAGGAAAAAAATAGGTTAACTATTTCTTTTAAGATAATTAAAATACAATATGCCATAGGTGAGAAGAATATAATAGCGAAAAGAAATATACAACTAAGTGCCAGTAACGAGAGACTAATGTCTCTCTAATAACGCTAAACGTCATACTTAAATAATTGTTACGGAATCAGATGATAATTAATTCTGTATTCTGTGCGTACGAAGTCAATCTTCCTCTTTTCTCATATGTGTATAAGAATTTATGACACATTTATATTAGTGATGTGTAGTTTTTCAAAAACTACACTGGCTAATGTTTTTGTTTAAAAAACATTAGCCAGTGTAGGTCGTTTTTGAAAAACTACATATCATTGGTTTTATATTACTGGCGATATTAAATCTATTTGTCATTTATATTAGTATTTCGGAAATACATATTAGCGTGTTATAATGTTCAGTTAAAGATGATCACTTACCAATATACAGCAGGACGGTCGCGAGGGCGACGAATGCAAGCGTGTAGGATTTCATTCTTTCGGTGAGTGGAGGTATTGGAGTTGCGTATGATTCTGACAGCCGGCGATTCAATGGTCTCACGTTCCCAGGGTGCTACCATTATATAAACGCAAGTAATCGGTGTTACACGACACACAAACACATATACGTACGAGTAAATGACACGCACACACGGCCGTGGTGACGTGTATTTACTTCGTTATCTATTTTTATCATTACGTGATGTCAGATAACTAATTCGGGCCTCTACGATTTGTCATCCAATAGATAATCACGTTTTCCTAGAATAAAGAGAGACTCAGCGAGGCTTGGAGAGATTTGAATTCATTGCTCGTGCGCTTGTTGCATTTACTCTATTTGAAATATGTGGTACCAGCATCGCGATCCTTTAACACGTTTTTGCAATATAACGATAAGTCGTCTGGAGATAACAGGCGAAAGTTTGTTAAGTCAATTGTGTCATGGGGGAAGGAGTTCGTTGTAACGCGCGAAACGGTATTTTTTCTGTAATTATACAAGTGGATTTTAAACTAGAGCTTCCATTCTCTCTCTCTCTCTCTCTCTCCCTTTTATCTTATTGCTGACTCTTTAGTGATGAGCATAACATTATCCAACTTAATGAAATGAATTTTTTAATGAAACTGCAACCACGCTTCTAAATATAAACTCATTTTTGTGTCTCACATTTAACGCTATGCGCATAGAATAAATACAAATTCTGTTTTCTTTCTTTCTTAGGAATGCAAATGCAGGGAAGTTATTTTTCGCATATGTTGTTTGCTTGATACACCAAGATTAAAATCACGATGGTAGATCGTATCTTTAACACGTTAGACAAATATTTTCTGTAACATTGATGCCCGGATTTGTGGAACATCGCATAACAAATTTATCAATCTCATTTATCAATCTTCTATCGATCTCGTTATCTTGTATCAGCCAATGTCACCGGAGATTATATCGACATTTTAATCATGGAAATTTTTTACGCGTATTACGTTCAAAATTATTAAATTTAATTTATAATACGTAGAGTAACGTAATCTATATAGCGTATAATGTGAATATAATGTACATATTCTGTATTGTTGCTAAAAATAGTGATTAATTATATCCGGAAATCCGTAGTATTTTTGTATAGCAGTCCATACAGCACAGCAGGAACATTGCAGGAACTTTGTGGTAATATTTCACCACTAGATTGCAATATCGCATAAACGTTATGAAATATTACCATGTAACATTGCAGTATTTATATGCAATATTATTTTAAATTTTGCACAAATTGACGTAATAGCCTTATTAATCTAATATAAATAAAATGCACAATTTACATAAATCGGAGCAGTACGGAAAGGAGATTTTTTTACTTTTTGCAATCTTATTTATATCTGTATGTATGTATAATAATATATGTATTCTCATGTCATAATTATGTTTTTAAAATTTTATAATATAATAATACAATGCTTCTAGGAAAAAATAATGTACAATTTTCCAACGTTACTGCAAGCTTCTGTGCTGCATGGGAGATAAAAACGTGAATTAATTATTTCACAGACAGGAGAGAAGAAGCACATGTGTAAAAATAAAGAAAAATTTTTAGAGTGTATGAAATGTCAGCAGTGTATTACGTCGCTGATTATATAGGAGATTTTTTTAATACATGGGCATAATTTCAGAGCAAATTAAGGAAGAAAAGAATAATAAAAAATCTCTATATAAATGTTTGTCTTATCTGTTTTACAGTTTAACAGCATGTTTTACACTTGTTTTACAATGGAATATGCCAATAACTAATAGACATAAATTTAGATACTTTCATAAGAGCCGAAAGTATTAGAGCCTCGCAATCAGATAACCAAACCAGGTGATCGGACAAGATCACCTGGCTGGATCTTTTATCAGATCTTTCATCAGATGGATTAATTTATTATTGAGAAAAGATTTAAGCACTCTACGAATAAGCACTCTACAAACGATTTTATCATCCATCGAGATTGATATCAACCGTGCTCTTTTTACATAATCGATAAACAATTATAATAAGTTATTTAAAACTTATCTAGTCCTTTTTAAGTTTGAAAAATAAGGGACAGGACGTTTGAACGTTTCTACCTTTCTGCAAAATTTATTTTCATATTCAAACTGTATTGATTATTATCGACTTACTGGCATATTCTAAAACAGCAATGATATAAGAAACATTAATTATGAATAGAAAATATGATGAAGGTAACTGTAACAGATATTATTTAATTATAAAAATAATTAAAATTATTTTGTAGTAATAAAATTAATACATATATATTATTATATCATTATTGTTTATCTCTTTATTAACATTTTTATTTTGTATTGCTATCGACACGCTCAAGCGTCCGTAATTTGAAATTCCAACAAATACATGGCGTTGTTTAAATTTTTATTAATTCCGTCCAAAGCATGATACTCATTGCTAGATGTTTTTAGCATCATTGTCTGTTCTTAAATAAAAACGGGCGAAGATATGTGTTCATATTACGTCCTTGGGAAGAACATACTTGAAATCTACACCTCTTAGCGTAGTACAGTTCCAACTTAAACGAACGATAGAATAATAAGTACTTACTACTGATGGGCTTCGAATGTACAAGTTGACTAAGTTGAAATTTTTAGGGCGTAGCAAGACGGTAAGCTAATAAAATTACATCATACTTGTATGTATTTAATCGATTGAACATCTAACTTCTTTTCAAATATTGCCCGACCTTGTTTTCACAGATTTTTTTACATTTAAGACAACTTAATTAATTTTGTTAAAACTTAAAATGAAAAATAACTTTATTGGCGGCGCTTTCGCATCGTCGGGCATGTAGAAGAGTTAAACGTAATAATTTAAAGTATTAATAAAAGAAAAAAAAGTAGCCGTCGTGACTTACTGCCGTAAAACTTCCCATTTACCTGGCGTTAAGACCTAAATTTGTATGTACAAATGGATAGACTTTATCAATACTGAGCATAGTAGCATACATTACATGTTATTAATATTAGAATACTGTACACGATAGCACTTTCGTGAGAATTAAAGATTCGTATTGACTAGAAAATGAAATCTTGTTAAACGTCCGGACAAAAGTGACGCGATTATACACTCGAGTTGAAGAAGAGTGAAATTATCGATCTTGATTATCTGAAGAAAACAAACCTAACACTTATACGTCAATTATACATCTCTCCTCGTGCTCGTTTGGCATTCGCTCCGAGACGTCGATTATCGCCATTGCTCTTGTCTGAAAAACAGATTACGCGCGATAAAGTCTGCGGGAGATCGTTCACGATCGCCGCTGAGTTTTGCACTCAGCGTACGAGTTTTCCATTTCCCGAGTTTTCTACGCAAGGAGACACGGGATCTAGCGCCTCCGATACATGTATGTCTAAAACTAACGATTGTACATTTCTGGAGAATCTGATTTCGCGCGAGGCGTCATGCCCGGGCGAGTACGATCTCATATAATGCTTCGTCCTACTCGGAATATTCCCGACAACGTCGTTCAGATCCCGAGGGACTTGCCGTCCATTCCGTATCACAGTTAATCAAGATTATTTATGCACCAGGTCGATAGTCCGCTATTACGTTCTTCAGGAACGTATAGATGTCCTTGAAGGTTGGTCGCGAGGTTTCGTCTCTTCTCCAACATGAGCACATCACCCGATAGACCTCCTCCGGACACATTGTTGGTCTCGGTAAAAGTACCTAAAGTACAAGTAATCAAATTCAAATAGCAGGCAAGAAGTTTCCTTCAATTTTCATTCGCGGCTTTGACGAAGTGTAAATTTCAATTGTATTCATGCTCCGTGGTATTATTTTTCTCCAAGTATTTGACTGTGTAAGATTTGATTAATCTGTAACGTGTTAAAATTTTGTCACGAGGCAAAATTTAATGATTAATCGATGGACTCGGAAGTGATTGATTGTAAAACGATTGCCGCCGCGATCAGATAAGTGGCTTACTTGTAGCTCCGCTCCATAGTACATATGCTCGGCGTTTTGAATAACTTGATCATTTGACAGATGTTGAAAGGGCTTTTCCCTAGCCAGACTCATTACCTCCCAGAGTGTCACGGCAAAAGACCATATGCTACTCGAACATGTATACCTATCCTGAAATTTAAATATTTAAATATTGTTGCTGTTCTCTCTTGATACGCTATTAAAATTTATCACGTATATATACATTTATTTTTTTAAATACGAGTTTTATTTCAATCGCAGATTCTTTGAAATGGGGTCGAAATAAACTTTGTTTTTGGTGAATTGTAGTGAAAATGTTGAGCTGTGAATAGAATTTGATTTATACATAATTGAAGAAATAGACTTTGCGAACTTAAATTTTATATGATAAATTTACCTCAATCGAGTTTTAATGTAAACACTTTGTATACAAAAATGTTAAAAATCGGAAGTGTGGATTAAAAAATCGATAATTAAAATTAAAGATTTAAACTGTGGTATAGAATATAACATAATTTTGATAAAGTAAACTATGGAGACACTTGAAAAAGCGAAAATTACTTACCAGCAGAATACTTTCCCACGGTAACCATCTGATCGGTGCGGGTGGTCTACCTCCTATATCGCTGTAGTCTTTCTTGTAAAGATCGCTGCACATGGCTATATCGGTCACTTTCACGGTGTAAGAACGACCTACCAGACAATTCCTGGCCGCCAGGTCCTTGTGCACCAGATTCTTTGATTCGAGAAATCTCATTCCCGATGCTATCTGCGTCCCCATATAAAGCAGACAACTTTGACTGAAAACATTCAAATAGATTTATATGAGAAATTTGCAAAAGCAAGCGGGACAGATGATATCTAAGCTTTCACAATCAAGTATAGGAAGATAAAAGAATAGGCAATAAGAGCCGACGCAGGGTGTTAGATGCGGATTAAAAACAGTTTAATGTATATAGACGTCAAATAATGACTATAAAGAGAGTTTTATACATTAAGGGCCAGTTTCACAAACATTCTCTGCCTCTTCTTAAATAATAAGATGGAAAAAGATAGGGAGTCGACTGAACCCTAGTTAGCAGTTAAACGATGTTTGTGAAACTGGCCCTAACTGTTTTTAATCCGCATCCAACACCCTGCGTCGGTTCTTATTGTCTACTCTTTTTTTCTTCCTTCACTCGTTTCATCGTTAGAGCCTTTTGATCTTACTTTCCGCTTTTACAATCAATTGTGAGATAAAGATGAATTTATGCCGGAGAAAAATTTTACCTAAGAGCTTTTAGATTGCAGTTTGGCCTGAGCGTTCCCGTGAGCGGTACACTGTATTGAAGGTAATGAGCGAGATCACCGAGTTCTGTATACTCGATGATCGTCCACGGCACTGGCTCGACCGTGCAGACCCCTAAGATACGTGCCACATTCGGGTCGGATAAACACGATAGAAATTGTACTTCCCTCATTTGGTCTACTGCGTTGTTACTTCGGATATCGCTGGTACACAGGGGTACACGAGCAACGACTAATCTGGGAGCGCCAGATACGATCTCGTCTAGACCAACGGTCTCGCATATTATAGCCTGCAAATCGTACAAACAATATTATCTAGCATGTGAAAAGAATCGACAATTTTTTTTATCTTTTCCAATCATTCTTTATCTCAATGACTATCCAAGTCGATATTTTGTATTAAGTTTAAAGTTTGACGGTAGGCGAGAGTACATAATTGTCTTCATCAAATAAAAAAACGTTCAACGTTCAAGAGATATTTACGTATCGTCAAGAATTATTTGACGCCAGCAAATGACTTAACGTGATTAAACTGTTAATCGGCCATGACTGGCGATGTGTTTTACAACACAGAAAAATGATTGCGAAAAATATTACCTCAGCCAGGGTTTGAACCTGGACCGATTAACAGTTTACTCATATTTACGTATGCTCGAGAAGTTGCGCAGTATTGCCAGAAAGAAGAGCGAATGCATATCGGGATTACAGGTCAAATACATGTTGTTCAGATAAATATGTAAATTACATTTCATCACCGCCCGTAGCTGTCATTAAGTGCGAGCCGAGCGTCACGACGCGCATCCGAGCTGCGGGCGTATTTATACATGTGTCGTGTCTCAAGTGCCCGATTAATTGAGATTATACTTTCCTGCGGTTGTTTCGTTGATATTTAAATTCTTCTTTACAATCCGACGCGAGTGAAGATGCATATTTTGTGGCAATGGATGTCCCGAGGGGGAAACCGCTGACCAAAATCTTGTACACCAATGCCCACTAATGTCCAGTGGGCATTACTTTATCTTATTATCTTATTTTATCTTTATAATGCCCCAACTAATACCCAAAAGATGCCCGGTAATGCCGCAAATCTGTACACCACAATGCCCTCAGCGATTTCCCCCTCGGGATGTCCACAATAGAAAGAAAGTAGGAACGAGAGGTGTGCGAATCAATTCGAATTGAGTCACTGAAGGTACATACAATTCGATTCATTTTCGGTTGTTTTTCCTTCAATCAATGTAATAATTTTCCTTTAATCAACGTAATGCAATAATGCAATCATTTTTAGATTAAACAATGTCAGCGAAAAAATTGTCAAGTTTGTGGTTTTATGTTCAAATCAATATATAACGAGCTCAAGAACGATTGATTCGAATTCAAACGTGAAAGGATGCGATTCAAACTCGAACATAAACAGATTCGATTCGATTTGATCACATAAAAGCACAATTCGCATACATCTAGTGGGAGCAAAACGTTTATTGAACAGCTTCTACTGTTTGTTGCATAACTTGCATTGAATTTGCTTATATTTCGTACGGGTTATCGTACCTCTCCTATAGTCCTCGAGCCAAGTTTCTCTGTCGTTCGTAGGCACTGACGTGGTATATTGGTTGGCTCTATTTCCCTGCACTTGTACGGCTTGTTCATGCTGGGTGCGATGTTCCAACTGACGATAGGTGCTGGTATCTACAATCGAGTGAAATTTTTTTAACCGTTCGCAATCGTTATATTGTGTCCTATCTTCCTCTCGCTCGCAAAACAAACAATTGGTCGCAACCAGGTAGAGGAATCAACGTAGATTGCACTTTCACGTCGAGACATTAAGGTTTGAAGTAGCTACAAGTGTTTGATTTCCCTTTCCGCGATGTAATGTACTTTTCCTTCCCCCCCCCCCCCCGCAATCAGTCAAATGCATCGTGAAATTGTACGTGTACGATGCACAACTGATGTGTACCTTGTGCTTCTCCTTTGGCGCTGTATGCCAGCGTTTCGAGTGAACCTGATCGACGTCCCTTTGGTGATTGGGCGTAACCGCGATATTGAGTTTCCTAGTTGGACTGCTATAACTTTGAAGGGTTCTGTAATGTTGGGAGTGACGAGCCGGCGAGTTAGTCGGTGACGAGGAGCAACTGGATGGACCGACCGCGGATTCCGGTCTCGCGTCGAGCCGTACGTTCTCTTCCGAAACTTCTATGTTCTTAAAATCCTTCGGGGACTCTGAAAAATACCACCGTTTCGTCATTTCCCGTTCTATCCGCCGGCAACGTTCTTCTTAGCAGTCCGCTATTCTCAGTTGCGATTAGCGCGATAACCAGCTGATGCTTGCTCACCGGAATTGGCTACGATCGCGTACGTGGATTTGTATTGGGGACTGACGAGCGGCGAATTAAATTGCTCCATCGTAAGTGACTCGTGCATACTGACGTCCTCCGGCATATCAGGTGAGACATGATTGGCGGTTTCCGCCGCCAGCATCCCACCGGGTGTTAGGTTTAAGAGAAGACCCTGCAAATCGTAAAGCTTCACTTTACTTCAACTCGGTTATTTCTTTCTGGGGATATCTTGCGTAAAACGAAATTTGCCCTACCTTCATATTGATGGCGAAGCCAAATGGATTTTTTAACACCGTCGGAGAGCTCTGCAGCTTTTGTCGTCGATTCAAAAACAGGATAATGAAGAAGACCAGCAAGAGCAGCAGTATAATGGCAGTGAGGACCCCTATCAGTACCTCGAGATATTCCTGGCCCTCTCCTGGTGCTGTAACTATATAAATTTATGGGGATACACGGAATACGCGACATCATTGCTACATCGAACAACGCGGCATTTTTTTGCCACGACACCTTTGTCTATTTTTAAACTCGCAGACTGTGTTTTTCTCTAAGCTAATAACTAGAATTAAAAAAACTCTCTGTATGGAAAATCATTTTATCGTTGGCGAAAGAAGCTAAATTCCCTTTCTTTACAACCGTTATTAATTTACATCGCAAAAACTATGCTTATCCTTTGTCGTACATTGTCCGTGCCAAGTGCCCCGAAGCTACGACAGGACGGCTGGGGGGTTTTTTTTGCAAAGGAAATAAATAAGTTTGTCGAAAGTGCTCGCGTGGTGATCAAGATCGTCCGGTGAGTTTTCTTCGATCAAGCGTTGAGCAGGCGAATGACCGTTGAAAAACGATTGACTGTTGAAACACCAATTTTGCACTTAATTCAAGAAAGAATCGCCGCACGAGTGCCAATGCGGATGAGGAAATCTGGATTTTAAATGACGTTTCCTCTCGGTCGTGCAACGTATAGAAAAAGAAAATTGCCCCAAGAGAAGCGTAGAAACGCTTTTAATTCCCACTTTTATGCTCACGCGTACCTTCTTCGCTCGTGCTCCCATTTTCCTCGTTTCTTGCTCCTTTCGCGGTTCTATCCTTTGTTTTTGAGGGAACAACGGATAACGGTATTAAGAGATAAAACTGTGTGCCGTGAATCCGGCATTAATGCACATGTACAGCGTTTAAAGTCGGTTATTATCGCCCGTTCCTTTTTTCCCAATTTTTCGTTTTGGTTTTGACGCATCGCTTGCCGACGTATCTATGGCCCATTATATTTTTTCGATCGTGCAACGACGGACAGCTTAGCGTTGCTTACCGCTGCTTTATTTGCAGCCGCGCATCAAAACGTATTTACCGGATTTCATATCGCCCGTATTGGATGATAGGATTCTCGGTCGCTATTTTGGCGCGGTGCTATTGCATCCGAATCAATTATTTCCGTCCTGCTCTCACACTCTTTTGATCATCTCGTTTAATTTCATATTCCTTCATTTATTTTGTTTAATCCATTCACACGGAGATGGGTAGGTTGCAATTTTAAAGAAGCTGCATACTTTTAGCGACTATTTCAGGAAACCTTTTCAGTCTGTCGCTAAAATAAGGGAAGAGATAAAAATATCTGCTCTTTGATATCTGTCTCGCGTGTTTCTTTTATCACAAAAATTTTCAGAGTGCTACACTTTAAATTATCCGCTTTTGATCCCGTGGGCGTTAATGTCATAAGGTTTTAATATTCATGCACTGTTAATATTTGCGAGACACAAATGTGGACGGTTTTAAGTGCGACAATAAATAAGGGAGTTTCTTAATTTGAAATAATCTTTTTTACGTAGGTAATATACGTCCCTCTTATTTTCTCAAGTGAGTAATTACATTATTTTCCCCGACTCTTTATTTTCAGCTGACTAGAGAAAATATCCGTAATTAGGAGAGAATGAAGAATAAAGTTCCGCGTTTGCACAGTCTATCAGAGATATGTAATTATGGAGTCGACTTGCTCTATGTCCGGGGTTTCTCTCTCTTGGCTCTGCCTTATTTCGCTCGTCCTTTTCCGGTCCTCTCTCTCTCTTCCGGTCTCTTCCGAATCCGAACCTCGACTAATCCGCACAATCGATCGCGCGAATATCGGCGCCTGAATTATGAAGGCGCTTTCTTTAGTTTTCCCCACTCGTCAACTACGTAAAAAAAAAAAATTGCGTGCAAGAACAGCACCGCCGACGGCCGCCGCGCCGCGCCCTTTTGAATTCAGACCACCGTAAAGCGGACGCTCGGTTTACATGTTGTTTTTAGTTACTCTGTTTTTTACCCTTTGTCGCCCTTCCCTCGCGTCGTGCCGTCTTTTTTAGCGCGCGTGCTGCATTTGCGCGCTCGGGCGATTTCGCGGCTGCTTTATTTGAGGACCCGTTCGCGTTTCCTTTATTTATAATGGAGAACCGGAAAAGTGCTCAGTCTATTTTTTCGACTGTGGTAGGGTGGGAGGGAGGGAGGGATAGGATTCGCGACCGGGGGAGTATATCAGAGAGCCGTAATTATGCCGGCAGTCGAGTATTCTTCCCAACATCCTCCCGCGTTCTCATTTATCTGCTGCATTTTCTGTTATCTGCATCTTCCTCGCTCCTCCCCTCCGTCTCCGTGTTATAAGTTTTTATCATTTTTTTTACTCCCATTTCTCGTCCTCCTTTCGTAATTTACCTCTTCGTGTTCACGCACGCTTCTCTATCTATTCGGGCGACAAATTATGTTCTATTTTTTTTGTCCCGACGGTCGACACGCGCGCTTTTATCATACGTTTCGGGACGTATCGCGCGGAGGAGAAAGGAACGAGTGTAATTGTTCGTATCGGAAAACTGCGGTCTAGATTAAAACTACGTATGTATAGAAACACGTTGTGTTTCCACTGAAAACTACTGCGATATATCATCATAGAATTCGCCGTCTGCGCGTAATATCGCTGTCGATATTCCTTACCTCCGCTCGCTCCTCTTTGCGCCGCGGCTTTTAATTTTTCATCCGGCTAAGCAATTCCTTTGATTATACTCAATGATTCAAGTGGAAAATGCATATTTTTAATTTGTTTTGCGGCTTGGAAAATGCAGCGTAGGATTTGTTGTCGGCACAAACTATGAGATATACGTAATTATGTCAGAGTCGACCTTACTTTTCTTCCCCTGTTTTCTTTTCTTCTTTCCTCAAATGCGCTGCCTCTTAACCCGACTAATTGTTTACGTTACGAGGAAGTTGCTACGTGAATTATAAAGTGCAACCGCATCTCTTTCTCTGGCTATGTCGGACAATGACTTTTCCTAATCGCATCTTCCTCTTGGCAAAGAATAACGGCCCCGTTTCGCTAACAAAGTTAGCTGAATAAATGTCGCGCATTTTCTAAGTGAACTGAATACGCATATTACGAAAAATTGGAAGATTGCGCAACTATAAATGTTATGACGTAAGTCCACATCAAACTGTATCAAGGAGTGTAGGTTGAAACCGACGTTGGAGAGAAAGAATAAAAAAGGAAACACTTAATTATAAAATTAATACTTGAGTTACAAAATGAAATATATTTTCTTATGAAATCAAATTTTTTGTAACGACAAATATTCAATTAAGCTGATGGAATATTATTGATTAATTAAATTTATTTGACGGGTAAAAACTTACCTCCATTATGTACTGACTTTCGAGCAGTTAATTAAGATTTACTACATTTACTTGCAAATGTAATTAAATTGACTGAAGCAATGTATAATACAGTGTCAGTAATAAAATAGAGAAATGTTGAAACGTTAGCGGGAGGGCGAATGATCAAGAAACGATCATCGCTTTCACTTGTAACCATTCACACAACAGTACACATTCAATAATTAGAGATGAAATCGGCTTTAAATGCTGTTATCAACCGGCTGGTTTAAATTCGGAATTAAACGATGTCGAAAATAAGCGCTCGTGCGCGAGTAAAGCATTTTAATGTATCTACGTGAGCGATGCTCGAGATCGGTGCACAAATAAAATGTGAGATATTAAATATATGAAGTGCTCTCGTGAATCCGGAGCCGTCCCACTTACGGGTACATGGTACGAGAAATGAAAAGTTTCTCGCAGTCGATGCTTAATTAGAATGGGATTGATACGAATTAAATGCCACTCTCGGCAAGTTACTTACTCGTTTGTAAGTTGAGATCCACTTCGGGGTTGACTGGAATCTCCCGGTTGCTAAACTCGGACGCCGCTTCTTCCGTAGTGTTTTCGTAGGGATTTGCTGAAAGCGAAAAATAGCTGTAGCTAACACGAATCCATATGGGAAATTTCTTCAGATTTACACGAGGGAGATGTTTTCAAACGCGAATTACCAAAATGACAAGGGCTCTTGTAATATTTATCGTTTATCTGGAAATTTTGTATCATCGTGTTCGTTGCAAATATTAAAATCATATTTCATTAAATAGAAATAAAAAAAAGCACGTTGCCGTACTTGCACGCGAATACAAGCGTTTTTTACATAATTTCCGCCATCGCATTAAAAACGAAAAATAGTAAAAAATGTTATGCCGGTTATTATACCGCATATTTCTGTGCCTGAAGAATATTACACATTTCGTGCACACATTCGCATAAAGATTTAAATGGGATTACCGTGTGCGTTCGATATCGTTAACTCAAACGGCCATTAGTACGATAAAATTAAAGAAATATGGCCGTAGATATGCGAGACAAAGACGTGATGGTTATTAAAAGGTAATTGAAGCCGGCGGATGCGTGCGGGGGCAAAGCGAGATTATCCAATGGATAATTATGTAACTTCGTTCATTACAATATTTCTTGAAGCATTACGATCTGCGAATTACAGTTAAGTACCCGCTCGTCTATTTGCGCAAGTTTACCTTGTCGTTCAGGTCTGTATTTAGGTCAGGCAATATGCAAGATGCCGAAAGAAACCCGCGGGAAATCTACAAGAAACGCGACAAATTGTTTTTTCGCGGAATAACATTGAAAGAGCGGCGCAAAGAACGCAAAGAGAAAAGATCATTTCCGCCGGTGCAAAATGAGATACGGGAAGCTCACTTGCGTCGAATGTTACTTCGCCGATTATGATCCATCGTGCGGCGAAGTACAGATGCAATTTGAGAAGTCTTCCTTGCCGTCCGTGCAGACCGATTGAAACGTTTCGAGCGTTTTCCAGCACGACGTCCGGTATATAGGAATAAGGCAAGAACTCGTCTTCATAGATCTCGCCCTCGGTGCAGAACCATATCTCCGCCTTCGAAAATACCTGTTGTGCAAATGAAACTCACATTGAAATACGTTCTGGTCGGTGCTCAATGTGGACAAGGCAGATTCAATTCGTTAAGGGCCGGTTTTTCCAACTTTTTGGTAAGCTGACTAATAGTTAAGTTATATGTCTATCTTTTGTTCAATTTAAAGGAAACACAAAGAAATACATATAATTTAGCTGGTTTTTCATTTTCTGGATAATTGTTAACCAGAAGTTAGTCGATTCTCTATCTCTTCTTGGACAATAATATGAAACAAAGATGGAGAATCGACTAACCTCTGGTTAACAGTTAACCAGAAAATGGAAAACTGAGCCCAAGAGGTTGGAGCAACCTGCCCTAACTTCGTTTGTTAAACGTCCCAGTTATTTAGGAACAAAAGTAACGCGCGAGATAACATTTCAAAGAAACTAGATTTTAAATTAAATACACTACGCTGTGAAGGAACAATCACAATTGTCGCACGACAAATATTATACATATACAATTCTGCTTCTAAAACAGCAAGAGAAATAGAGAATAATTTCTATATAGTATATTATTTCTGTATAAAAAGGACGCAATATGTCCGCCATATTCCGGAAAAATGACTCGCCATGCGCTTAAGCTGGTTTTTATCGTGCAGTTACATTCGTTTTTATTGTGGTCGATGCACTTTGATACACAAGCAAAAACTCTTTTGTGTCATGAACCACACGAGGGCATTGGCATCAAAGAAATATACATACATGACGGTAACTATCGCTATATAATCGGCAAATCGTTAATCGTGTCATTTATGATACATGCTGCGGACTGATATCTACAAATGACATCTGTAATATAGAAGAGACAATATTTCTTGCCATGGATATTCTGTTTCATCTTCGTTTCATCTTCTACCTGCTTGGCTTCTTGATTGACACGTTCATAATGTACACGCGGCGCAATTATTTCGCTTTGACATACATTTCGACCAAAAGCAGTAATTACTATTTAAACCTTGTTAACGATATTGCCTTTGGTACAATTGATAGAATGTACCAAATTTGGATCGTGTCTCGAAAATGTCTCGCCTATTAATATCGTGCGTAACGCTCGTATTTAATTGGCGATTGGAAATTAAACGAAGAGATAGTTTTCAAAATACATGTATTTATATATTACGTATATCGTTCAACAATATTGTGAATTTAATGAGTTTATTTTGTTGGATAATGTGGTTATATGTTTAATTTCTTCTGCTTTGCGCAAAGAGGGACTTTAAAAGTACGTGAGTGGAAAATACGTTGCGCAAAAGTGAGTTGAAGATTACCTGAACGTCCCGCGAGAAATAATTGTTGGTATAGATGTGTACCGCTTCGAAGACCATGATGGCTTCAAACTCGAAGATGAGCTCCACGAAGTTCTCTTGGAAAGTGTCACGAAGCCAAGCAACCCAGCCCGTGCCTGCAGCCAACGGAGAAGGAACTTTCATACAAAATGCAATGAATTGCACTACTTTGCCGCGGTTCTCTATCGCAGCGCAAACAGATATATTGTAATTGTTACAAAGGTTTATACGCGATGGTAATTTCAGAAGTTCATTTTTTCTGCCGAAGGTAGAACGCGGAGGGAAGTTTCACAAGAAATTCATAATCGCGACAAACTCTTTTTATTTCAATGTCTCGCGATAAAGTTACGAAACACGATTATAATGAAGCGAGAGCAAAGCTACTGGCAATGAAAAATACTGAATATATTGAAGCACTTTTGCAATAACTCGTACACTTATACGATATAACGATCGCACCTTTTTCACCATAAAGCGATACAGTCTGCCAGAAACTACTTAATTGACGAAAATGACTGAGATATCGTTATCTACGTATGTTTCGCTATTAAGCGCGCCCGCACGTGTTCACCCACCGATTACCTTTTCCATTTCCCATGTCCAGTCTGTAATTATCTGCGCCGACCTCGCCATCGATTAGACAACCTAAGCCATCGGTCAGCAAGTTGTCCTGCTTTTTACCGTCATACGAGATGTCACTAAACTCCGGTAGAGAAGCATCTGGTATAGTGTAGCTCCTGACGCCGCCTGAGACAGACGAAAGTTTTCGCGTGACGAAACTACTACAGGTGCAACAGTAGTTTTCTTTTAAAACACACTCGTCTCTCAAACTTCTACGTTACGCCTGACTTTGTAGTACTATTAGCTGTGTTTTGTCTTTAGTTGGCACTCCTCTCTTCTCCCCCTTTTCTTAAATAATTGCGTTATTTTCTGATTTTCCAGCAAAAGTGCATAAAGCGCACTAGTTTGTTGTAACATAGCGAAGACTTGAAACAGAGAATAGCTCGACGAAAATAATTTCCGAAAATATTTGCGATGTTTTTTTCTCATGCAGACGTATTATTATTAATTTTTATTACGACGCCTGAGGGCCAAAATTATTTTGCGAATTTTCACATTATCTCGCCGAAATTTACCGTATATTTCGCAAACTGCAGCACTTTGCTCCAGTTCCCGGATACACTTCGAAAATGAAGTGGCGTTGCTTAATAACATGCCGTGAAGGGCGGTGGCGGAGGAGGCGCTTAGTTAAAATTAATCAATTAAAATTAATTAAAACGACTTGGCCGGTGGCGGCGGACGGCGTCCGCAAGGGACGGACGGCTGGATTTTCGTAGCGAGAAAATTAATAACGGACCGCAAAAATGGCGCGGTGCGCCCACTTTGCCATGTCGTGTTCAAAATCGCTTAACTACTCTTAATATTTCACGGTATATACGGTCCGCGGCCGGCCCGTCCTTGTCACGCGATGTGGTCAAGCCAGTTTTGGTCAACGTACCTTTGCCTGATTCCGTGTCACGTGGATGACGCCGAGGTAATAATTTTACTTAGAACAACGTAACGCCTCGTCGCCACGCGGTTGTACTGCAACTGGCATCTACCATATCGCACAGGAATTGTACGATCGTGTATATATATATATATGTATATCGAAATAAAAGGCCGACCCCATTCTCGAATAAACGGTCGTCTCTTTAATCAAGATACTTGCGCGCTCCCAAGAAAAATAGAGAAAAATACATAAGTTAAAGGGGGCGTGATAAGATTTTAGCGCACGGCTCGCTATAAAGTATATTGCGTTCGTTAAAGAAATATGCAGGCAGGATACGTAGATACGTTTCGGAATTGTACGGGGTGCCGTGCAACAACGTTCACAATAAGGCGAATAAATGGCGAGTCAAATTAATCCGCGATTGAAGCAACGAAGCCACCTCTTGGCGTGCGCTCTTTACGTGCTCGAGAATCGTTCGTGTAAACTGGTGAACATTTCAGCGATGTGTCGCTGATACTCCTGCCATTTTTTGAAGGTACGCATTAAAGGACGTCGTATTTCAGCACGCGTCAGAAACATTGCTCTTACAGGGACTCTACTCTGTAATCTGGCAATCCGCTAATCTAATCTGCCCTGGCAATCTCCTTCCCGTCCGCGGCTTGAAATTATTGCGGATTTTCATTGGAATTGTTAGAGCAATTTCCCAGCAGAGTGCAATTCTTAACAAGTCTCGCGTTAATGCAACTTTTCACAGGCACGTGTGAAGAAATATTAACGACTAGAATGTAGACTATGGTTAGCAGAATGAGTTTTATACGTACAGATGAAAATATAATTAATTTCTATCGATTATACTTAGTATATACGCGATCTTATGTTTTCCAACTTTAATTTTAATGACAGGTCTTCTCGCAAATAGGAACGGTGCCAAGGAAAAGCGTTATTTACTTCACAATTTCAGTTTCCAACATTATTTATAGGATCTGAAAATAAAGTTCCTCTAAATAAAATATTCAACGAGAGTCCAAAATTTATTAAGGAATGGAAATTCGATCGGTTCGTTTCCTCTGAAATTCTCTGAACATTCTCTTTTCAATCTGCAGTTAAGGTAAGATCGCGAGTGCGTGATATTCCGTACAGCGCTAAATTTGCCACGTATAATTCTTCACGGGATACAGATCGCTCCAACAACCATGGGTAACGTCGCGCTTTAATAAATGATACGTTGGCTGCACCGCGCTCTATCAACCGAGGCTTAGCACACTTGTATTCTGTCGGACCGCGAATGTCAATACCAGGAGGACAATGTCGTGGATTCTGTATCGCGTTGACCGAGTAGGCCGTGTTGCCCGCGATCCGGGGGTAATCGTTCGTGTTCACCGGCTCGGGGCAGGGCATCAGCGTTGTTTTAACCCGCTGCCGTGCACGGCCGCCATAAATCCGGCCTACCCGCCCAGTCGGGCTCGATCTCACACGCTCCGAATACTTCTTATAACGCGAAAGCTCTCATGTCGCCGTTTTACCGCGGGGCTCCGCGCCGCGCCGCAGTACGCTAGCCGTACATACGTCATCGCCCGAACATGTGCGGCCTCGTTGGACATTAGCGACCCAGAAAAATAATTCATGCAGATATCCCCTTCCTCTGCTCAGACGTTGATAATAAGGATGCGGACTTTGTCAAGATTATACAAAGTCTTCGACTCCTGTAGTTACTTATCATTTGTTAATTGTAGATATATGAGGGTACGTGCTGTTTTAAACGGTGTAATCTACTCCGATAAACTTTTCCAAGGTTCAATATTAATTTACCAAAAAGTTAGATACAAAATTAAATTTCGCATTTTAATGTTATTCTCTTATTCGCGACCAACTTGCTTTTCGGAAAGTGGAAATAACAATTTATGCTTTACACATAATGAAGAAGCAAACTCCTTTTTTCGCTCAACTCGTTTTATATGTTTTCCGCTTTACTTTGCTTTGTGTAATGTTACTTGAGTTGATTGCACGGTTTCTTTTTCACGTGAAACACATGTTCCGACGGTGCCTAGCTGTACTTCTGCTGTCAGCATTTAGCGAGAAATTCTCCATCGGGCTTCTCTCTCTCGCTTTGCGTTTTATTATTATTTCAGGATAATAGGAAAGCATATACTAAAAAGATGCATGTTCACACAGACGTGGATAATCGATTAAGCAAATATTAAGAATACATTAAACGTACCTAAATATCGAGTTTAAAAACTGTTTACCTCAATAGAGAGGGAGAGAGAAGAAACTTTTATTTAGTTTTTTGCTAAATTATAATCCGGTTAGTGTGAAGGAATGCTTATTAGTGCATAATACACGGTGCTTTCGCTTAATCTTTACAACCCCACTCCTGACGCTTTGTTAGAATTTATATAAAATTATGTCTTGAATTTAGGGGCCCGGTAAAGTAACGTGGAAAAGAAACTGTATGCAAATTTATGTAAATAGCATTGTGGCGTAGCGCACAGCATGTTTGTTATACATAACGCACGCACCTGTATATAAATTATGAGAATGGGTTTTGTATGCGTCACGAATACTTAACATTCGTTACTTTGTTAGATCAAAACTGGCGGCTCGGAGGGAAAATAAATTGAAATGTTAGCTTACTCAAGATATTATCAGATTTCAAGCGAGAACTAAGGGTATTAGAAAAATTCTGGTTAATACAAAGATAATAGAGAAAAGAATTGCGAGACTTTTCTTATTTATCGTGACATTTGTCATCGCAATCCTGAAATTAGACAATAAGAATGATTTTATAAATAATTAATATCATCAAGTATCAATGAAAATGGTAATAAAGATCGATAGTTCTCTTTCTTCATTAGATATCGGTCCCTTCGTTCATTCTCGGCTTTCTCGAACAGGTATTGTACATTTAGGTGTTATGCACTCGAGAAAATGGAGAGGGGCCGGTGGGGGATTTCCAAATTTTCTCAGCGAGTGTCTGATATTGTCTCGGCGTATTCATACTGCACGAGCGCTAACGGTGCATTGATTATATAAGAGACATTAAGTACTGGAACTAGGTCGAAAACAAATGTACGAAGCCGACCTAGGAACGAGATCGTCCGTATAACGCTGTTACGAACGTTAATGGGATCTAGCACTGTAGTTAGAGTCAACGGCACCCTGCCTTCGCGTAGCCGTCTCAACGGCGTCTCGGTAAATTGAATGAAATTGCAATTTGGAAATTAATCGTCAGATGTCCACTCGAGCAACATCGCCGTGCGCCATCCTCGCCCATGTGCGGCGCGATCGCACACACGGCTTCGGTCTCAAATATATTCGCGATTTTAAATGTCTCTAATTAAACTGATGCGCCATAAGCATTACGTTGAAACGCGAAATGTATTTATGGACTGTTTAATGCCATTTTCGCTTTGTTCGTTTTGCTTATTGATTTGTTAGCGACACATGCAATACGCTCATATTTTAACACTCACGAGCTAGTAATAATATTTGATGCGAATAACGTCAGTTATGTCATTTTCAATGATAATATTTAATTTGGTTACATAATATCCAAATGAGTTTTGTTATGAATAGCAATCGGTTTGCACGCAAAAATTTGTCTGACGGGAGAGATGATGGCCAATGAAAACGTTTGCTTATCCGCGTAAGGGAATTTCCGATGAACACATTATCGACAACTGTTATTATCGCGCCAATTGTCTCTAAAATTACTCCGTTTATTTTACAATAGATATATTGTATAATAAAATGCATTTAAGTAGAATTGCATATACGTACATTTAACTTAATTCTATCAGCTTTAACGAAATATTCGATGCAGATTAAAATTATGATAAAAGCAAAGTACATAAAAATTTTTTTACACAAAGCTTTATCCCCGAGAAAGTCGGGATTTTGAAAATTGGAATATTAACAAATTGTTAAATTCCAAAGTATAAAAGACACCTTGTTCATATATCATACTTACTCGTGTCTCGGCATCCTTTGAGCTCGATGCGAAGGCAAACCGTACGTCTGTGTTCCGAGTGCGGTAAGATCCGGATTTGACTGGCGAAGATAGGTGGAATCAAATTGTGCGATACAACGGTGGAGGTGTCGCTGTTGCCGGTTAAAACCTACGGATCAGTGTCGTGCATATTAATAAAACAGCAGACGAGAGGACGTGAAAGAGTGCAACTTAATGTGAGACTCGATATTTGACTAACAACATCGTCACGTAAAAAAAAAGGAAGTACCTTTCACTTTTCACACGTTGACGAGAAAGATGGATTTTTCGCCGAGCGACTGCAAGTTTGATAATACGACTCTTATTGCGAGGACGGTATTGCATTAATACGATTTAATGGTAATTGACATTCCGCCCGGAAATTTCCCGGTACTTATAGACATCTCAATTTCGGAATCAGTTAATATAATACCGGCGAATGCATACGCGCTTAAATGTGCAGCGCCATTAATTTCCCTGGATGGAAATATCTGAATAGCCGTCTGGTATCGATGACAGTCGCGTTTATCTCGGCGATAATACATTGCGTTGAATACGAACTTTTCGACAAAATTCCGTTTCGGTAAATGTCTGTTGAATTGACATTAACGTAACGAGGCGTTCGTGATTTCCGCGGAAGTCAATTATCCAGAAAACTTATTTGCGGTGCCGCGCTTCGGCTCGTTCCGCTTCTTAATTTAATCTCACCATTTATCGTGCCACATGGGCGTGTGATTACACGATAAGAGATTATTCGGCGTAAATATAACACAACGGCTGTATCATTAAATTAGCCGCCGCTTCATTTTACATTTTACGACCAGTCGCATTGATACCGCGGTGAATTATTAATAAGGGAGGATTTAACGTTTTACGTAACGAAGTAAATGTTGCTCGATGTAACGTCTACAAGCATTGAAATACGGGAGAATACAAAAGTTATTTATGTTTGTCATAAAGTTGCACATATAATTATTATCCTTTATCTCGTCATCTGTTACGCAATCAATGTCGCGCAATGTAGTTATGAAAATTGCAACGTACGGGGAAATAATAGAAAATACACTTGCATGGAAGTTACATCGGGCGTGATAGAAATGGAGATTGTGTGATATAGAAATAATTCCACGCCGCGGTAGAGATGCGTAATGTCGAAGGCAGCGATGCGTGATTCGATCTTGAGCGCGAGAAAAGGAGGAGCCCGATAGAGATGGGAAAAGGGAGGACTTGAAAACGTCTAGCTCTCGAAAAGGGGAAGTTGCACTTTTAGCGGCGCTTAACCATACGTTACGGTACGAAGACATTACGTGCAATTCCAGCGTAAGAATAGATCGCTTATCGATTGCCGCTTCTCACTTCTCACTGTTTCACGAGTGGATCTTGCGAACGGTGGAAGGAGGGCCGCGCGAAATCGAACTCGAAGTTGAGAATATTGTCCGATCAACCGTGAAACAAAAGGATTTTTGATATTACGGTAAAAAGATATGTTCCATTTAAACTGGATACTCCATTGTTTGAGAGACAGTTGGTAAATATTATTGGTTTCCTGGTAATAACGTATATAAAAGAATATCGAGTTATATTTCCTACTGCGTTACACAAATAGGAGTTAAATTACATATTAAATAAATAAATTAATTAAATTATAACTTTATGAGTGCATTGATCAAATCAAATTTTGTGATATGTAAATACAATATAAATCGTGAAAATTGAATATTTACTTTCTCAAATGTCGCTTCGAGAATTTACACACACATTTATACGCAATTACTTAATAATCATAGCGAGAGACTTATCGTCTACTTTTGTTTCCTCTCATTATTTGAATTTTTCTAATTGTTCGTTTCTCTTTATGCTCCCGTCTTACGAGGGAACTTCAACTCGCGATAAAATTTTCCTACGGATAATTGACACGGGAAAAGTTCCATCAATTAGGCATCGTTAAGCGAGTGCCAAGTTCTAACTGTGACTTTGCTAACAAGCGACTTCGAGCCCTGCGTTTCAATGGAATAAAATTCCAATTTGACACCAGGCGCGTGGGTGATTCCGATCGGTTTTGTAGTTTTGTTCTACGTATCGTTTACGTACATTTGTTTGAGTTTGTTCCAATTGAGACACGGTGTAAACTCTCGATAGCTTGCGTACAACACTTCTACAATCGAAATACGTTTGTTGTAATCAAACTCCGCAATTGCTCTCTTCTATGCAATGCGCCACTGGAAACATAGCTTTCGCATGTACTAATTGATATAGAAATACGTTGACCGTATTAAACATATAAAAATGGTTTATATTGTCAAACGAGTGAAAAAGTTATTGGAGAGAAAGTAATTATTAAAAAATTACTTCCATTCCCTTTGTTAAATATAAATACTACTCTTTTATATTGATTAACATTTATATATTAATTTGTGGAAAATATACCGCATCGAGCTTGATCTACATTAAATATTAATCGCAAGAGCGATGAAAGGGAACGTGGCAAATTGCGCTCAACCCTTTCCTACAGATATCATCAACCGTTGCCCGTCCCGTCTTACCTCTTTGTTGTCCCAGCGCTTATATCGGCGCCATCGAGTGAAGCCGGGACGTCGATACTCTACGGTGTAATCTTCGACGTATTCCTGACCGCGGCCGTGATCGTAACGGCCCTGCGTCTGCACACCAGTAATGACGTGAGCACTCTGCAGGTCAACTTGAAGCCACTCGTGAACCCCTTTCTCTATTTGGCTTTTTGGACACCAAGCACCGCCGGCGGTCTCCTTCCGCAGTCTATTTCAAATATTATTAATGTCCTAGAGACGATCCATACAACTGATCGCTATGGCATAATTCCAAAGGTGCAGGGCTATTCTTTTTTTACTGCAATAAATTGAATCTTGCTTCACTTGGAAGTTAATACGTTTTATTGACTGTTACGGTAATAGATTAAATGGAATAATTAATATTTCGACATTGCCGAACCAAACAGATTAACGTGATCCAAACGAAGAAGGATGAATTATTTGCGAGTGAAGGTATTTGTAAGACGACAATTTCGTAAATTGCGGCGCATAATTTACGACCGCCAAAAGTGCGCGAAATTACTGAATCGTATACGGCACTTTGCAAACGAAGGACTCTGCATAAGAGGGTCGTTAGACTTTTCATTTCGAAAATGCCGCGGAATTATCGTTTTACCGTCTTCCCGAGCATAAAAAAGTCTGCCAATTATATTGTACAATTCAGTTACTATCCTTTCAACTAAGAAGAACAATTCGCGAGACCATTTCTGGGTTTTAAGAACTTCCACCTTTTTAAAAGTGTACTTAAACAGTGAATCCGTGATTTACTCGCGCTGCTACTTCTTCGTGCCGTTCCGCTCACGTTTCCTCTTCCTCCGTCGATTATTTACGTTTGTGTTAAATGACGTTAATGAAAGTCTTACTACCTCAATCACTTCTGGCCGAGTGGCATCTCGTACTTAATAACAAAGTTAACTTCACCATAGATCGAGAGGATTCTCGCCTTTTCCGGCCACCTTTCGCTGACGATTGATTTCCGAGCGGCGTTCGTGCCGTACGTTAATTCGTTTACCATTTATAGTTTTTCCGCGTAACTTCGACACAAAGGGCTCTCGTTGTTACAGGAAGAAGTTCCGCGTAGCCGCGGCTGATAGAAATTCCATATTATTAAGTAAATTGCGCTCTCATGGAAACTTTGTACGCGTGAGAAGTGTCAACTAAGTACGAACAAAGCTCTCTATTAATATTGTAGAGCCGCAAACGTGTAGAACGTGGGTGCTTTCTCCGTCCTATTATGTGTAATATTCAACTATTTTTCGTCTTGTTAAAGATTATATTCAAAGATTTACTGTTGCGAAACTTTACCTAGACGATGAATATACATTGAATCTATGGATAATTGAATGTATAGTATAATCTTATTATACGGGATCTCTCCATCTATTCATCAACAATATACAGGGACTATACAATAACTGCTTTTGTGTATGTTGTTATGTACACAGGTCTATTCTTAGACCGACGATTTTGACGTATTTAAACCTTCGGGCGGGTACTCATTTATCAGGCGCGTCTGACGGCTGATCAATGATCACTTTTACCACTGTTTTAATTATCCTCTGCTGAAACATAATAATCTGGCGAAGGGATCGTAATATATTTCTCAATTTACGTATCGTACGTGTTTCGCTTAATTATAGACACTATGACAATGCGGTTCAACTCTGCAAAGTGCGCATTTTGCAATCAATTTTTATTAGTTTAACGAAAAAAATCAATCTGCGGAATGGCGCAAAAATATTTATTATTTTATATATAGCAAATAAAAAATTTAATTTTTTCCATTTCTCTTAGTTTGCCCGTTTTCACCGATTGAACCAGCCGGTTAAATAAATAAAATTGACGCACAATGCATTATACATTTTACGTACGGACATTATTATTATTTTTCATTTGCAACGTGATAACTGAATTATCATCGCAATTTTCTCAAGTTTAGAGAGTGCCGCTTTTAAAGGGCGATTGCTTCGCAGAAATGTATCCTCTATAAGACTCGATTACCGTTTCGCGTAATCAGATTTAATAGTCACAAGCATATTAGGCATGTAACTTCGGGGAAATTAGATTTGAATAAGTTAAAATCCGGGTGCGCGCGTTAAATCAATATCGCCACTGCTCGGAAAAAGCAAACTTTCGCGATAGATGGATTGAATGGGAATCGTTGAGTTATAAACAGAACGCGCGCGACAGCTGCGTAAAATATGGAGGATTAGACACGAGGGGGCGAGAAATGACGCATGGCGTATCCGTGGACGATGCCAGTGTGTTAAAACTCGCGACCTGATAAACGATCGGACCTACCCTTCTCAGAGTGCATTAAAAAATCGTGGAATATCTCTTAAAACTGCGGAAAGCGGTGGATCCGTAAAAGTAAATGTGCTCACCGGCCATTTCGCGGCCCGACGTTCGTCACATACGACGAGGACGCGCTGATAGCTGAATCCGGTATGTCACCCGACTCCATTCCCAAGGACTGGTTGCATGATTCTGAAACATGACGACGCTTTAATGTAATAGACGAGCTAATCATTTCGTTGATATAATCGTCGTTATTAAATTCCGCAGCGATATTCGGTTACCTTTTTATTCGTGCTTTTTGCAAATCAATTCGTCGGAACTTATCTTGAATTTTCAAATTGGGGCAGATTGGCAATTATTGTCCGCGCTAACATTAAATACTCAGTAGAACAATTTCACGGCTGACACTGAGATACTTGCAACGGAGGTAACGTTCATTTATGGATACATCGATCTATCGAGGGTTTCTCGGACGATCCATAACGACGACGACGACGACGACGCACCGCCTGATGTCTTTCAAAGACAGTGGAGTAAAAGAAACAATGGCGCGCGTGATATCGCGCGCACCATTGTGCCAGTAGGGAGAGCTCTTTAAAGTTGAAGTGTATCCACAGGAATCACGAACGTAAACAGCAATTACGACGTCGCCGTCGCAATCGTTGTTCGCGAAGTTGGGATAAGTGGCAAATGGCTCGAAGCCTCGAGGCGCATCGCCGCCGGGATATTATCCAATCACTATACTTATTAGTCTTTCAGCGATCTCATTCACGTTTCAATTCGCGTTACGTTTACTGTCATTCGGTTGTAATCTTTCCATTAAAGTTTTCGTTGGACAACAAAAAGCTGCGGCGCGCGCGAACGGAGCCCCCGTCCGTCGTTGTAAAACTTCATACTGCCGCGCGAGGATCAATCGCCCTGAATAAATTTGTTCTGCGAGATCGAGCGGCGATCCATCTATCTCGCGCGAATTTATTTGCAATTAAGATAAGATCAATCCTATATATAGTATATATATCTTAATTGAAACAAATGTCGCTATTGTATATACAAATACACAATAGCGACATTTGTTTCACAGTGCAGATCAAGTTTATCTTTTTTTTTTAGATCTGTTCCCCCGAAATCTCGACCGATAGAGAAGCGAGAAGATTACATCATTTTCATTTATATTATATATCAGTTGTAATTAGGATTGTTACCTTCTTGCGCTGCCGTTACAACGCCAGGAAACATTACAGCCGCGCGATTTATTTTCGGACATACAGCGGCACCTACGCGGAATAACGAATAGTTGGAGGGCGGGCGCAGAAACGTATCTTCCGGTTCTCAAATCAGCGAACAGGAAGAATCGTTCGCGTACGAGCCTGTTCTTATTGGTCTCAAGCAGCGTATAATCGAACGTGAGCGCGCGTATGGTCGATTAAATCTTTTCGCATGCCTGTCAGCTCTGCGGTTTATGTTGGTTCGGCAACCCTCTTAGAGAAACTCCCCCCGAAGAAGTAAACGACCGGGCCAAACCGGCCGGGAGAGCGGAAAGGAATTTCTTCTCGCGACGGTAAAATCAGGAACTCGGGCAATAAACATTGCGATTGTCGCTATTGCCGTGGCTCGCTTGAAAGCAGCTCCGCGGGGAGAGGTGATTCTATCAAAATCTACTAGACATCGTTACAACGAAATCCACTAAAAACTTCATAGATCTTTCAACAGCGCGGGTCGAAAATTCGCGGGAGAGAGCTTTGCGGTGTTAAGAAAGCGAGAACATCGCCGGGGATGACAAAGGATCGCTATGAGAAACGTTTTCACGAGGATTTAACCGGCTAGTTTGCGACGCCAGACGACGCTATTTACAGCGGAAGTATTTTAATAACGTCAGCCGCGGTTGACCTCGTTCTCATTTGCCGCAATTGTTTTTTTAATGTGCACTGTGAAAAGCGATGACGATGTAATCAATGAAACGGAGGAGCGCATCGAGCACAATTTTTCTTTATTTACGAGGTGTAAAAATATTTTCCGGTTTATTCGGTCAGTGCAGCTCCGAAGAGAAATGACACACTGCACATGCGCGAGATTAAATTGAAAAATTAAATTACAGGGGAATCGTGAAATTAAACAGTGCGCACGGTTTATCGTAACTTCTTATCCGATGTAACTTTACGCCAAAGTTTTTATACGCTCGAATTGTTGCGTTACGGTAAAGCAGCAAGGGGCATTTTGTAGCCACTCCGCGGATCCCGGTAGACATCCGGGCGCGAGACGTATGGAAATCGCATGGACATTTGAACTTGGAAACGTATTCATAGAATTCTCGCGCTCCATCTTTCCCTTCGGTGTGCGCAAATATTCCTTCGCTTTGTTCCAATCCACAAATAGAGCAGATAAGAGAAAAGAAACACATGTCAAACGTTCGATCGAAAACAGTGGAAGCCGACGCACCAGTCACAAACGACGTGAAATAACGCAAACCCCGAGAGAAGCGGTACGCTGCCGCCATTTGTCGTTTATATTGTTTTCGCGCCGTGTAACGGAATAAGCAGCGAAAGGATGACTTCGCAAACTCCACCAAAAAAAAAATCATACACTCATGAGAAGTGACATGAGAGTCGTAAGACGAATTACAACGAGAGCGTACAAAAAGATTACACCCAGAAAAAAGTTTATTCGAAATCAAACAAATTTAGAAAAATTAAACAATATATGAGAACACGACAATGTGCCAAACTTACAAATCTTAAATCTTTCTGAAAATCGTGAATCTATATACCGTTTCTTTCCACATTAGTTCTACGCGCCGATTTCTTTTTCGGACGTAACGCAGTTTATTTTACACGCGGAATTATTATCGTCAGCAGTTTCACATATTCGATTCGATAATTATTTTTCAAATGCAATTCGCATTTTTCTGATGCTACATTTAGCATTCAATACCCCCCATTTTCCCCGTTTCATGTAAATTAATTTTATTGCGAAAAATATTACCCCAGCCAGGATTCGAGCCTGGGGACCTCCCTCAATCAGTGACGGGCGTCTTAGCCAGCTCGTCCACTGGGGCTGTATTATAGTGTGTTATGTATAAGCTTTGTGTCCGAAATATTTAGAATGACCCCGTAGAGTGGACAGTGTGGATAGCCGAGGAAATACAATGCATTGGTTAAAACCCGCCTACATATTTCAAGTATAATCTTCCCGGGATCACTCTCTGTTTTCTATAATTCAACCTCGTACTTGTCGGAATGCTCATGCGCATCTCCCGGGCCAGTAAGTAACAGCCCATTGTCCGGGTAGGAGAATCCTGACGCGAGGTCGGTGGTATACGAGGCGTTTCGTGGATTCATTGCGACGCATTCCACGTCGAACTATTCGTCTTGCCAGGTGGCGTGCAATTTGGCGAACCCGGGGACACGACAGCCGGAAATCCGGACACCTCGGCCGCAGTCGGTGCCACGAAGACGCCCTTCAGGAGTGGCGGGCGCGAGCGCCTCGGCGCCTCCATGGTCTCGCAACGACGTGCTGGAGATTCGCACGATGAATTTGAAGGCAGTTTCAACTGTTGTAACGTTCGACAATCGCGTTCAAACGCGCATTACTTTATTACTTTTATTTCATTCGCGAGCTCGCGCAGCATTTTCGAGCCCCACGGTATTTCTCATTCAGCGCGTTGCTCCTATTGTTTCCACGTCGGGCGCAACAGCGGTGATTTTTCCGTCAATTCGTAGAAAAATGGAAACTTATTTTTTTTGTTTGTAAAATTTTATCGTCAGTTTGTACAGCGATTACGCGAAACAACAAATTTTCGAAAATCAAGTCGGCCGTTCCGCCAGGTGAACGCACTCGCCGAGCTAATTCCGCACGCGTGCGCGTACGTTAACGTTTCACACGAATATTGTAAAGCTGCCCGCCGAGGTGTTCTCCGCGTCACCTGGTCCACTTTGTCCCCCGTTACTATCGAATGAAAATCCGGCTTGGAAACTTCCCCGTTCGCGATGCTCTCTGCACAATCGGCTTTCTCCATTCTTCGGGTACGTTTGTCCGCACGGATGAACAGCGCACGGGTGACCGACGGGTCTCGTTTTTGCACGGCGACTCCTGTTTGTCCTCGTTTGAAATAAGGATTCCGGATTGGAGGGTTGATGTTACCTGTTCGAACTCAACTGCGCGAGGGGTGAGATCTTTTTTTCTCCCTCCCTTCCCCCCCCCTCTCTCTCTTCCCTTGTTTGTTTCTGCCTGGTTCTCGATTCGTTCGGACCGATGGGAGCACGTCAGGTGTTCCGCCTATAATCCTCCGAACTAAGCACGAATGGAACTGCAGGGATAGTTGATCCTGCCCGATGGCATGGCCATGTTTCTCCGCACCGCACTTGACCCGCCACCCATTTTTAAGAGTTATCGATTTCTGTTTATAATTGCGATCGAAGGCAGCGGCGTTGTTTAAAGATTGGAGGTTCGCCGGGCGAGTTTTTTCAAGGATTTTACCGCGTTGACGTATCGATTTGATAAACTCCGTTAATGGGGTACGCCCGACGTCAGGCTGTTCTGCGGGCAAAATTCGTCAGGCTTATTACAAGATAATTGGTAGCCGCTTCATCGGCTCGTTATCGCGTAGTCCGAGGCGCAATTCGAAAATCGTGTTAGCGGTGTACGTCGATGGACTGGACGATTATTCGTCCATTATCATCGCGTACATGCTCTCGTCCCGGTGTCTGGATTACAATACCAAATGATAGCCATCAGAAATGCACGACAGAACTTCGCAACAGCCCTTGGTCGCCCTTGGTGGTAGGGGATCGGATTTACGTGCCGCGAGATATACGTAGATCGCCATCTGCGAGTGTGTTTGCGGCGACGTTAACACGAAACACGTTCACGTTTCCGTTTTCCACCCGTCGTGCCCGCGCGCCGTCGACGGCAATTCGACGGGAAGACAGGCACTGCGTGGCACTGCGAGAGGGGCGGCCCGTTCCGCACGAGAGTTTTCGAAGACGAAAACGCATATACGTATGTAAATATAATAATACATAAAGCCGCGTTTTATGTACGTGCACACGCACACACGCACACACGCACGCGCGCATACCCCCTCGGGCTCTCACCGATGTCGCGGGGCGACGCCATTCGGAAAACCATCACGCTACTAGGCTATATTTTACCTCGTAAATGGATGTGTCTGGCCGAACGTGAATTTCTTACCT